CTATCACTTTCAGTAGGGCTTACTCCTACTTAAACATCCATGGAATCAAACAATTAGATTCCTGAAAACAATGGAATTTTAGCTTACTGAGAAAGTATTTCCAGATAAATATGCTTGATCAAGAGTATATGACAGTACAACCAGTATTAATATAGTATTGTGATTTTGACTTTTTTGTTTTTAATAGACAAATAGATTGATATCTCTGGTTCATCTGCTTGTACAATCCTAGAAGTCCATATAGTCTCAAAAGAGGACATGACTGTGATGAGGCAGAGTATGACCATCATGAAAAGATCCTGCATTCTAAATTTGCTGCTAATCTAATGGAACTTGCTCAGATGAATTGCTCAGAGTAAAAAAAACACAAGTGCAGTGTATAAGAGATTAGAGGCTACAGAGAGTACTATTGAATTCAAAGTAAACTGCAGATCACAAACAGATGATATCTTTTCCATTTATTAAACTGCTTCGAAGGCTTAATATAAATGCAAATAATAACTGTGTTAGTTTTTAAGGTCCCACAGGAATTTTTGCTGATTTTAATGACATATTGGATAAATGAGACAGCTCTGTTTTCAGCAATGAAAATGTTAAGCTCCATAAAATGTGAACGAGATCATGTCTTTGGATACCAAAAAGCCATGAACCTGGAATTCCACATTTAGTATTAAATAGTTATTATAAATGGAATAAAATGACAAATTTCCTAAGCTTCTGAAGACATCCAGACAAAGTCTTTATGGTAATTTTAAGTCTGGAGCAAAAGCTGTCTTTATTTTAAAACATCAGCAAATGCAAGACCAGAAGCTCTTAAGAGAAATATTTAGCTAAAACATGTTTTCAGTATATTTTGATTTCTACTAACCAAACTCATCACTACAGTTTCACAATTCTGTAGAAAGAAAGATAACTATGTGTGGAGAATTACAATATATTGTACTTTTAAAAGCTTCTGCTAATTCTCCTCTGTTTAGAACAGCTACAATGCTGGCAAGCATGGCTCAGAAACTAGCTACTGCAGAGCCTATATTCAACCAATACTTTTCAGTACCAATTATTGCAAGTCATACTATACAAAGAGATGTTGGGAGCCTGTTCCACATTTTGTCAACCTTGTCACACACACAATGGCCAGAATAGCTCAAACGACACAGCTTTTGCGAGCAAATTGCTGCAAGTTATTAAGTCAACGTAGACAATATTTGTTGCATGCGGAGTTGTGTAATTTGCTTTATTATGCCATCCATAGTTATGCTGAAAATAGGATTTTGGCCTGTGATTTTTAAGTCATTCACAAAAATCCTTAAGCAGTACCTCATGACATTTCTAAAGTCATTTACTTGAGGTTGGGCTATAGTAGAAAATGACGACACATGACACATGCACACAAACACCTCTATATGGATGCTCAGAAAAACCGAATACTGTATTCTGTGCACAACTATTTACACAGCAATGAAAATATTAAGCTGGAAAATTAATGGGGGTTGTGTGCTCGACAGAATAGGTAGTTCAAAATATAGTTGAACATATTTAAGGCAATTTTGTAATGTCCTAGAAAAGAGCTATATAATTTGTAAGACGTCGTAAAATTAACTTTTCTTAGAAAATTTCACACCAGAAAGAAATGTTACATTGATTTAAAAATGGTAGATTTGTTGACATGAGAATACAGCTTCTCAGAGACATTTTACTATAATGCACTCACGTCTAGCACTAGTTATTTCTAATTAAATGACTGGAAAGATTATAATAAATCTTAAATATATGTATCATCTTCAAATCTCAAAAGTAACATGGCTGGCTATATCAAACTACATGTACAATTAGCAAAAAACAAATACAGCTCTGAATGAGAAAAATACCCAGGGTGCATAGTGTAAAAAGATGCCAGACAATAGATGAGGGTAGGAGGGTGGGGAGAATCAAATTGCACAATAGCCGTTACTCAGGTACACTGATTAGAACAAACAGAGACCGCACAGAGTATCATTAGGAATGCATTTTGCTCACATTGCTTCAAGGAAGATACTACACAAGGAGGAGAGGGAATTTGCTGTCAATCATAGTAAAATCATTGCTCCCTCCATGGCACTGGTTGCGCTACAGAGGAATTCTGTCTCCTCAATTCTCATATTAAGCAGTAGGAAATTTTAAAAGATAAATCATAATTTCTAAACCATATATGGTAATGTATAAGTTTATTAAACAAATATTGTAAACAATCCATGGCATATACATATTTCATAGGATTGTTTCGTACAAGCAGTTTCTAGTTAGCATGTGTGAGGTTAACACAGGAGGCTTCAACTTGTTTCTTTGTCTCTGAGTGAAGGGCAAAGAAAAAGATTTTTGTTAATAATGGAAACCCTGATTTAATTCAACATGCATTAAAGCTCCAGTACACTAATTACATGGTTAGAATACTAAACTAAGCACCTCAGTTTATGTATAAGTGTAGTCAGCTGATGAAGTGAAATGCCTACAGTACTCTACAAGTCTACCACCAATGTGAAGAGTAAGAGAATTACTATTTTAATACATATATACATCTAAGAAATCTATATTTAAATCACAATTGTTTCAAATTTTGTCTAGATTTATATTAGAAAAATGTGCTATCATGCACACCAAATATGAGAAATAATGGCCAGAATCCTGCTGAGAAAGAAAACCCATGCAATAGTAATTGCACATGCAGTGACTGGCAATCTGTCCTTTGCACAGCTGATTTCACAAACAATATATGACCAGTCACTCAACAAATACATTCCGAAGGGAAATGCTGCACAGACAACTTTCCCCAAGAAGATTCTGGTCAAAGACATTCAAGCATGACCCCCCTCCCTATAATAAAAGCCATAAAATTTTCAGTGTTAAATTAGTTGTAATTGGATTAAAAAGTTTCATAGTATATTTACATGAAAACCAATACATGAAAGGTTATGATCATGTATTCCTTCCCTTATGATGCTGGCTGGAATTTGAAATCTCAGCCTCAGTGCATATCACAATGCTCTAGACATTAGGTTGTTGGGTACAGAAGACAGGGCTTTTTCTGTCATGGTTATTTTATTGTAGATCCTCCCTCCCAAACAGGGCTATGACAAGTAATGGTGCTGGGGAGAACTTCACCACATGCCAAATTGAGGTGATGCAATGATGAACTAAAGTGGAGTGTCTGCCTTTTTTTTTCAATCTCTCTTGTGGCATGTGCTGTTCAAAAATTTTTATTTCTTTTTCCAGCACTTAGGAGATTGCAATGCATCTTGGGTAAGCATGGCTTCATAGAGGGCACCCAGTGTTACTTTGCTTTCTGCTCCAGATGGATGAGATTGGGTTGCATAGCTGCCTCTCTTTTGCTCATCACTTCTGTACAGGTTCAGCAGAAGCCGGGGCAACCACCATGGCTGCGCCCCATAGAACACTGAGGCCCAATTGCTCCATTTTGGCTATGGGCCTCCTCCCAGGAGAAATCAAGCTGGCTCCACCCACTGTTTCAACAGACTGACAAATTTTGTTTTGCCTGCTTTCTAAATTAGTATATTTTAAACAATGTGTGGTTCTGTTTTGTTTTTATACTGCAAGTTTCTTTTTATCACTGTGGAGATCTTAATAGGCAGAAAAGCAATTTATATAAACTGTATTCTCAAAGGCTTTCATGGCTGGGATCCAATGGTTGTTGGGGGTGTTTTGGGCTGTTTGGCCATGTGCTGGAGGCAAACAGCTTTTAATAAATAAATTCATTAAATTGCTTTTAATGAATAAATAGTGAACTGATGTAAAAAAATCATTTATTTAGAACACTCTCACATACAACATGCACTGTACGTTTCTTCATGCATGCAATGCTGCACTCACCTACTTTAGTAAATTCTACTCAAACAGGAACACTTATGATCAACAAAGTAAGTAGGGGTGGGATCTTCAGAATTAAAGAGCTCTTAGACTCATAGAGGATATATGGAGGCAGCCTCCACTGAAATTGGTGCCCCCATGTACCCTTGCGAATCGCAGTGAAACCTCATGACTTCCACAATACAGCAGGACACTTTTCAAACAGTTTCAAGACGCAGCTCAGAAACAGACTGGGTTCTTTTAATTCCTAAAGCTCATCTGTAAAAGTATAAAACTGGAATTTAAAAAAAAAATAACTCAGCCAAGACAGGATCTTGCATGTTCAAATATATACACTTCGTGTATGACCCAAACTTGTGAAACAAATGGGAGGGTAATGTCGCTAATTTTCCATTTCATGTAAGTTCAAGGAACACTGAACTGTGTAAACAATGTTCCCCACCTATTCTGAAAATTAAACTGTAAGCAAGCTAAGGAGGGGCTGTTTAGAGCAAATGAGATTCAGATTTAACAGAACACAGCAATCATCTTTTTGAGTATGAAGGAAATCAAGAAAAGTGTTATTTTTATTAGCTTCATGTCTGCCTGGCTTTTAGTGAAGATATTAAAAGCTGCCAGTCTTTGATAAATCATACCAGCACTTATTTCCTCATCCAAAGCTCCCTGGTATTTTGGTATACAAATGTCTGTTTGATGAGTCATCTGAAATTGTTGGAAGCTTCCATACATAATTTCTGCACACAGAACAGAAGTCATCCTGAAATGAAGAAGGCAAGAGCACTGCACCTTTGCAGGCTGGGATTTGTTTTGTTTCTTAAACTGTTCCTGTTACTAACTAAGAAAACAAATTCCAACTTTGCTATTACTGAAATATGCATGCTACTAGCTTTTACTTGTTTTTCTTCCCTCCCCCAACCCTCCCACTTCAAAAGGTTGCACGCAGAGCTGCACAGATCATATAGAATAAATACAGGAAAGCAAGCAAAAATCCCCACCCTCTTTCCTGCAGTTGGTAGGCGTTCCATAAGAATTGCTATGGGGTCAAAAGTTCACTGTGGTTTCAATTTCACCTTTTAGTAACCAATCAGGAAACAGGCACTGTGATAGACCCTCCAGCTGCAAATAATAAGTTAACTCACTGAGTACCAGTCTGGTGTGGGGTTTTTTAAGCTGTTCCTGCTGCGTCTGTTTCATTCTTAGGAAATAGGAAGAGAAAATTATATTCAGTGTACTTTTTCTGCTGTGTAGTTCCACCATATGTATACACACACACTAATTTCCACCAAACAAGTTATGAAGTAAAATGTAATGGTAACAGTTGCACTGAGTACGTTTATTAATACCAGTCAAAGGTCACATACTAAGCTATTCTGAAATTTTCCCACCTCTACTACTTACCTGCCAACATTTCTAAAAGTTTCCAGAGATGAACATGTTACTTATAAAGAGCAATTTCTAACCCCCCACAGCAGGCTTTTCCTCTCTACTCCTGCTTCTTTTTTAGTTCAACATACAGTCTAAAAGCTACAAAAGCTAATTCACTATTTTGTGACTTTCATTTAATGATAACTAATATATTGTACTGCTAGTGCTGTTTCAATGTTTTCTAATAAACTGATAGTTCAGAGCATACCAGAAGAAAGTTGCAACTCCTGCTTGTGACACTGCGCGATTCCCAGACTTGCTTTTCTCTCAAAACAGTGAATTTACATAATTTTTGGTTTTTAAAAACAAACCATGCCTTCCATGAACTTATCCTTCTAAAAAAGCAGAAGTTGAACAAGATTCATTTCAAGTAGCACCTATAAGTCTCATGAGATTTTTATCTTACTAAAAACTAATTTATTGCTTCTCTTTTGCTACAACAGACAAACACAGCTATCTGCTAGATTATCTTTCTCACAAAAACTAAGAAAGTCTATCCTTCACAATTGTGTCTGTTTCTGTATCTGTTACTTCAATCTTTTTTTAATGATTAGAAATTGTATAAAATAATTCCCACATAATTTCCTCAAACATGCAGCTCCCTTACACACACACTTGATCCATCCTTGGCACCACAAACTCAATGGCAAGCAACACTTTAAGCAATCTTGAGTTTAAAAAAAACTTACAAACATTTATTTATTCCAGTTCTATACCACTCCATTAGTGTTATCATTCTATGGGCAGTTACAAAAGTGGAATTACTCCAACCACCTGGACTTCCAATCTCAGTTTCTATGCCTGGGCTACTCCAGGTGAAATCTAACAGTATCACATCATTCCACTTTGGAAGTTTGCAGAGCCTTCAAACTACAAGGATTTATGTTCATAGCTTTCCCACTTTCCTCTTGCCCTATTTATATTTCTAGTATTTTGCCTTACAAACATCTGTGATCTTGAAAGCTCACACAGTTTGCGGTACCTTTTTGATATTATCCACTATGCATTTTGGAATTTCTATAAAATTGTTCCATGAATTACAATCCACCTCAAACACACAGGAGTAAAACATTTACTGTAGCTACACATTTATATACAGATGTACAGTGTAGCAATCCAGTGAAGAGACGGAGAATGACATATGTATTGAAATGACAATAGCATTATGAACACAAGTAATGAACTTTCAGAATGTTAATTCCATAAACATCCTGGAAAGCGACATACATGTCTATCATGTCAGCTATGGTTTTCTTTGACGGGAAAGCTGTTGATTCCGGACATCACTTGGGTTTGGGGTTGTTGTTTTTTCCTGAATCAACATCTTATTCTAAAGCTCATAGTAAATAACTGTTACCTCCGGACAAGACTGTAAAGAAAATTACTTGTAGTTAGTTATAAAGTCTTGATGTTATCTAAACCAGCCATTCTCAGCCTTTTCTTGGCATGGTCATAAACAAAATTTGAAAGAAATATAGGCCAAATTAAGATGGTATAAATTGCCTAACAACCCTTCTAGTGAGTGTAAATAATTGTTTCCAGTCTGACTTCAAATGTGAAAGAGACCCCCTTGAGAATGATCCAAGCCTTCAGACATACTTTGCAATCTGTGGATATAACCTAAACCTACATACATAATCTATCTCCCTCTCTAATCTACCTTTTCAATTCCTATTTTCTATAGCATTCACTTTCAGACCTTTAAAAGTGTCCTGGGAGGCCAAAGCTTTATGAAGCTGGCTCAGAACAATAACACAAATTTCCTTTATACAATTTTACCTTAGTAACAAAACTTAACTCACCTTTCCCATTCAAACAATCTGGCTGCAATCCACAAGTCTTCCTGAGCTCAGAACAAGTGTCTTGTGCTAGCCCACTGAAAACTTTACTCATGTGGATGAGGCTGAAAGATAGCAAAAACCACCCAAGTTAAGATTCAAAAAAGAAATCTTATCATTGTCCTGAATCTAAATCCAAGGTTAATTTGTATCACTATACTGGATCACACAAATGCACAACTTTTAACAGATGTCCCATATCCCAAATTGTAGAAGGCATTAAAAGCAAGCACTGGCTCTTTGCACTGATTTTAGAACTAAGAATGACAGTGAGTAACACTGTTTAAGGACTCGTCTGTTGTATATCCATCTAAACGCTAATGCTCTTTAGTCTTGTAGCAATGCTCTCAACCAATTGCATTTTTTTCTGAAAAGTATTCAAAGATAGCATACAATATAACACAGTAATCCAATGCTGGTCACTAAAGTATGAAAATCAGTGGCCAAATCATCTCTTTCTAGAACAGGTTGCAACTAATGTACAAACCATTATTTATTTTATGCATTTAAAACATTTTTAACCCACCTTCACCTTAATAAGGATCCAAGGCAGGTTACATAAGTAGAAGATGATGTTTAAAAGCTTAAAACAAGTATACAAATATTACAAAAGAACCAGACACCACATTAAAACAGTAATAAACAAAATCAGAACAAAACTATTTATAATGGAGGTACCATGCATCTAAAGACAAATTATATCTGTAAAGAAGTCCTAACTCAGGCATTTTATTCCACCTGGGATCAACATATGCGGACCAAGAATGCCCTAGCCCTCTATCTTTCACTGCAATTTCTGATAAAGAGATCCTCTGTTGTTTATAGATTCTCTCCATACAAACAGAAATTCCGATTTCTCCGTCTTCATACATTGATCCTATATGAAATTCCAAGCACTGACTCAGCATTTCTATATGCCACTTGAATCAAACAAAAAACTGAAGAAGGAACTACAGTGGTGCCTCGACTTACGAATGTCCCGACATATGACCATTTTGAGCTTCGACCAGATCTGGCTGCAAAATTTTGCTTCTACTTGTGACCGGAGCCTCGAGTTACAACCAGAAAAAGGCAGGGAAAAAAGGTGGGAAATTCAAATTGCTAACTGTTGATGGCAAAGAGGCTGCTTCTTTGTAGCTCTTTTGCCCCAGCAGTTAGCGATTGTGTAATCGGAGGAGGCTTCGAACTGCCTGGTAAGGTGCTACTTTCTACTTTTTAAAAACTGTTTTGGGTGGGTTTTGCAGCATGGGTTTGAGCTGGGTGGTGGGATTATGTTTCTATGCTGTGATGGTTTTGCAGGGCTTGTTTGGGTTTTTTCCCCCCATTTCCAATGGGTCTTGCAGGCTTTGTTTGTTTTTGCGGTTTCTGATTTGGTGGTTGCTTTTTTTCAATTTCCGAAGCATCTTGCACTGTTTATTTGCTTTTTGCTTTGCTTTTTTGCATTTCTGAAGGGTCTTGCATGGTTTCTTTGCTTTTTTGTATTTTGTTTCCCTTCAGATTAATCGCATTTCCTTATGGTGTAGGTTATTTTTATTTTATTTTTTTGTTTTTAGTTTGTTTTAGTGACTTTTTTTTCCTTGTGGCGGAACGGCTTAATTGCATATCAACGCATTCCTATGTATGGGAAATGGTGCTTTGACTTACGACCATTTCAAGTTACAACTGGAGTTCCAGAACCATTTCATTTCAAATTCCTTGATGACTTCATACAGTAGTTTAATATGGGAGCAACACATGCCATTGCACACTGTCATGGCTCAATATAGTAGGACAGCACCCTCTTCCATCATTACTTTCTCATCATTCAGATACAACTAGTACCACTGAAGCAAAGGCCGATAATCCCATTAATGGACAATAACCCTGACAGGCCCAGAGCTTGAAAGTATTGATTGATTGATTGATTGATTGATTGATTGATTGATTGATTGATTGATTGATTGATTGATACACTGCCCATCTGGCAGCCAAGGCCACTTACAAGTAACCACTTACAAGTAACATAGACATGTGTAACTAATTATTTTACATTACATGAGTGTAAATAAGTTACATATCAAAAGCAACATGTCAAGTAGTTACTAATAACTTTTGGTATAATAAGTAATTTCTAGTTATTTTCACAAATAACTCTGAAGAGACATTTTAGGATATTTCTAGAAGCATTTTGGCAGAAATTTCATGTTTTTGCCATTCTGGGCAAAATCCTGTTGCATAATATTGCACCTGGTGTAATTCGGTTCAAATATAAGAAACATTCAATTTATACAAATTAAAAGCTTCCTATAGTCCTTTTTTAGGTTCTGAGGCTCCCTTTGGCTCCCTATTGCCATGAGGGAGCCTTGAGATAGGGAGGACCCTTCAAAGGTCAACAACTGCCACAAAATTGCCACTACTCGAATCAAGACCGCCACTGCCAATCTGGCAGCATTTTTTGACTTTTGAAGACTCCTAACCACACATCTGTAACAAAGTCTCCTAAAAGCTTTTCCAGGGCAAAGGGAACCCAGGAGCCACAGAACCTAAAATGGAGATGATGAGAAGACAACACACAATACAAAAATTTTTCCCCAAAAAATGAACAATGATAAAAGCAATCTGGCAGCCATAAAATAATGAGTAGCACAAGCTCATTCTAAAAAGTAATGTTCCAAGCTCTGAGTAGGCCTAAGAATCTTCCATTATTCATATACATTTCATTGACATGCCCTTAAAAGCAAGAGGGCCAGCTCCTTATCAAGGCAGTGACTGTGAGAATCAAATTAAGAATTCCAGGAAGAAAAATAAAACCACACACACAATTGCTTCGTCTACTTTTTATAAGATCTGGAAAGTGTGTAGATGGCTACAATGTCTCCTTGCCCAGTCCCATACCTTTTAAAATCAAAATTGTAACAGCAGGATTCTCAGCACTGGCCAAGATTCTGTCTATTATACACAACCAGATTTTCCAATTACAGTACTTGAGGACCATTTCCCACTCATTTTCATAAGGGTAATATTTTGGCAGAAAGCTATGAAAAGCTGGTAAGATGTCATGATACCCTGGATATGCAGAAAAAGAGATTTAACAAACTACTTAAGTGGGAAAAGGCTTGGCAATGTCAACAACACTAAGGAAAATAGCCTTTTTGTTTGACCCGCAGTCACAAAATCTGTTCTGACTGCAAGATCCCCGAAGTCCCCAAATCACATACTTATAATGATCTCAGTTTAAGTACAGTCCTTATATAGGCAACATTAACCCCATAAATGAAAGCTTGACAAAATATTATGAAATATCTAAAATATTATAAAGAAAATAAGAAAATTTGTACAACATTAGATATTACAATAAAATATTATCAAACACCCTTGTGTTTCCTCATACAAATATTTCTCTAAGCTCAGGACTTTACATAAATCACATTTTGATGCAAGAATGTATATGAACATATATCATTCAGCTAATGAATTATGACAGCTAAGGAGGCAAAACCTTCGTACATTTCATTTTTAAGACTCAATTGTCTAATCCTAAAATTCTGAATGGCAACAGGTCAGTATCATCACAAAACTGTGCTGCTTCAGTCGCTATTATAGCAATGTCAGAGTTTCAGCATTACTGTATATGCATAAGAGCAAAACCCTTTGTAACACAATTGCAAAAATAACTTGCTGGATTTACATTAGGCGGTTCTTCTACTGGGGGGCTTTGAGTAGTCATTCTGAGGAAACTTCACATGACTACTTCTTTGATGCGTTGATTCTTGATGTGCAAAGATCAAAATTCCAAAATGTCAGATGTACAGATTGGCTATTACTTAAATATATTTAAATACAAATCAGTGTTTAACAGATTGTTATATCTCGGACTTTTTAAAAGTGCACAATGAATAATTTTAACTCAGGCTTTCTATTTTAACCACCCACATCATAGTTAACCTCTATACAGTTCTGCTTAAAGATCACTGAAAACTCCTTTAAAGGAAGATGTTAGAGACTCCTTTTTTCCCCCCTCATGGCTTTGATTTAAAAGAAAATGAATGCTCTAACATTTTGTATCAAGTCAGCATGTTACCAAGCAGCTTTTCCGTGTGTTCTGAATTTGATTAATACAAGCCAAGGTCACTTCCTGAAAGATGTTTAGTACTGCAGCTGCAAGCAAACCTGGCTTCTCTGCACTTTAAAGCTGGGGGGATGGGGACGAGTGTTACTAGTTGCTAATACCAAGTTCAGCAGCAATGCTGAATCTAAACTCTTCCTGATAGCTAGGTGGAAGAAGAGTGAAAATATTCTAAAGTCTTCCTTAACGTATGCACAGGCATAATACTATTTTTAAGCAGAAATCTGAACACTGTTATGGTTCTCTCCTGAATTCAAAAATTGCCAATGAATCTTCTAGGACACATTTATTAAACCTGCCATTTTATGTCCACTAACCTGGCAGTAAGCCTTACTACTGAGTAGACACCTACGCCACAGCACTGTAATCATATGATGTTACTTGTCTGAACAACGTGTATCTATAAAGCACTGAGCAGTCCTACATATTTTAAAGCAATCTCTAGACACTAAATGACTTTGTTTTACATTAAACTGTTTCAAAAATATTCATTTCTACCTAACAAAGACTTAATAAATATGTGAGCCAGCTCTGCAATTTGGGTATTAACTGCTTGTAAATGCACCAACATAAGACAATAGTATGTTCCAAGAATGCAAGACAATAGTTTTGCATGATGTCAGCAACTCTGAAGTCAGCAGGATGTCTCCCAAAATCTCATGCACATTACACATTATATAATATAAACAACAATTAATCCATTCTGGCTGAAGAAAAAAACCACCACCACCACCCCAAAAAAACACACTGCAAGGGGGGGGGGGAAGAAAAAGAAAAGCAAACAAACTGTGCAAGACCCTTCGGAAATGCAAAAAGAGCAAAGCAAAAAGCAAACAAACCCTGCAAGACCCATCAGAAATGGGCTGGGAAAACACCAAAAAACAAACTCAGCCCCACACATTCTCCTGTATGAAATGGATTATCTAGATCCATTTCAATCGGATTTCAGTCTGGGTTATG